AAAGTAGTATTAAAAGGACATATTTTTGATACGTTGAGGATATTGGTGGTAAACAAGTCATTCACATCATGTTTTGGTCGAGTCATTTTGGATCGGGTTATTTCAAATCTAGATTATATTCAATTTTATTTTATTTGAGACAAATCAGGTCTGGTTTAGATTTAGTTTGGATGTATGATAAATTGGGTAGGGTTGGGTAACGGATCGAGTCGGATCGGGTGGCTATCGGATTAGTTTTTTTCCGGTTCGGATCAATACTGAATCGATTGATTTTGGGTCAGGTAAATATCAAATCTATTAGATTTCAAGTCAGATTAATTTTAGATCGGTTGATTTTCAGATCAGGTCAATATCGAATCGATTGATTTTCGATTTGGGTTAACCTTTGGATCATGTCAATTTAAGTTAAATTGATTATGAGTCTAATAAAAAATATATAGAATTAGTGTTATATTCTTGTAAAAGTATGTATTATTGTTTATTAATCTTATCATTTAGGCTTAATTCAGTTATAAGTCTAATAAAGTATATATAGATTTTTTGTTCAAATTGCGTTCGATTGGGATTAATTTTGGATCAGGTTGAATTCGATTCGGGTTGCTTTTCAATTCTAATTAATTTCGATTCAGATTAGTTTCGAGTCAAAATGGATATTGATCCATATTGAGTCAATTAAATTTTGGATTGGAATATGGTTTGAGTCGGGTGTGGTACGGGTTTCAGATTAAATTTAATCATCATATTCAAATTATATCACATATTAAATCGAATAAATCGGTTATAATCGAGGATAGTGTCAAATTGGGTGGTTATTGTTCTTGCGTTTGGATAATGGAATTCATTCAATGTTAATGCCACAACAATCAGTTGAATAACATAATCTACTATCAATCCAGCTGGTTCTAATGTCATGATTGGTCCAATAAGATTGTTTAGGTTGCATTTTCAACTAAACCAACCAAAAATCAATTAAATTGAAAAAAATAATATCAATAATTTTTTGTTCATCAACAGAAATATTGAATTTATAATATAATTTTGACTTTAATAATATACATAAAAAAATAGCTTTAATAAATGTGAACTACAAATCGTATAAACGTAAATGAAGTTAATTGTGAACAAGATCAATACATGTTAAAATTTAAATTATACTAAATTTAGACCGAACACGTACATGATCTACGTATAATCATTTCGGGAAAAAATGTATTCAACCAACAGTGAATAAAACAATTACCATTTCCTTAATAGCAGATATGCAATGTCATGAACATCCTTTCTCGGATGTTGGATGTGGCTGTCGCGGAGGGTGTTTTCAAGTTTCATCCAAAGTGTAAGCGTGTTCGTCTGATCATTTCTATTTTACTGATAACTGGTAAATTTTATTTAAGGGTACGTTTGGTTCACGGAATATAAGATTATTATTGAGAATAAAAGATTATCAGGGAATAAGATTATTGAGAATGTTGTATTTTGTATTTGGTTGGTTTAGCAGGAATGTAAGATTACCGTATTTGGTTAAAGAAATAAAAGATTATTGAAATGTATATTTGACCAAATTGTCCTTATTATATATTTGTATAATGTTACAAGTTGGAATATATATATATATATATATATATATATTTAAAAAATTTAAATTCGTAATATTTATATAATTTTTTTACAAAATTAAAAATATAAAAAAGATTTAATGAAATGGTAAAATTTTATTTTAACCCCTGAACTTCATATAAAATTTTAATTATAGACTTTTTTTTATAAATCTAAAATAATTAAGGATAAATTTATAATTTAATATTCGTAAAATTTTTATTATTTAATGACAGAAGAAGATTATTTTTGAAAAAAAAATAAAAATTTAAGGGCATTTTAGTCAAAAACGCTAGTAATGTTATAATACCAAAGGGAATGGAGGTAATGAAATTGCCGATAATATACCCAAAAAAATCTACTATTGGTGATAAAACATTACCGAGAATGATATTACCGGCCAAACCAATAGAAAAAATAAATTCCATTTTCAGGAAATCCCACAATCGTCCATCCAAACTGTCCCTAAGGGAAATATTGTCTGTGGTGGGAGTTATGTGTGTCTTGCAAGAGTTTTATAAATATTCTGGGTTGTAGTTGAATTCTCTTAAGAGAAAGGTGTTTGCTTCGGGTATAAGCGAGGAAGAGTTACTTGACGTTCGGGATGTTAGTAGATTCAGGGTTGGGCATTTGCTTGTTCATTATCTTGGAGTTCCTTTGATCTTTAGGAAGCTCACTGAGAGAGACTGTGTTCCATTGATTGAGAAGGTTGCTTCTTGGGTTAGTGGTTGGTCCTCTCGATTCTTATCTTATGTGGGACGGTTGCAGCTCATTCGATGCTTTCTTTAGGCATTTTATCTTCCTAAGGGTGTTGTCAAGAGGTTAGCTCACCTTTGCTCGCGATTTTTCTAGAAAGAAATTGATCAGCAAGCTTGGGGAACTCGAGTCAGCCTAAAGATGAGGGTGGCCATGGTCTTCGGGAGTCGGATACTTGGAACACTGCTAGTATTATCCACATATATGGGCGGACTCACCTTGGGATAGGGAGCGGAGGTGGAAGGTGGTGGTTGTTTTTACTCGGGTGGTTTGGAATGGAAAGACCATCTGTTCTTTAGGTGTGGGTATTCAAAGGAGGCTTGGAGTGGTATTCTCGACTTGTGTCAAACTATCAGGGCAGCTTGGCACCTGAAGGCAGGAGGTCTCTTGGGCGGTTGAGAAGCTTAAAGGTAAGACTTTCATCTCTTGTCTGCTAAGGTTGGCTTGGAGTGCGTGTGTTTAGGAGGAGAGGAATATGAGAGTTTTCAGAGGAACTCTTAGAAGTGCTACTGATTTGGCTTGAATGATTGAGGAAACTTTTATTTTGATGTAACAATCTCTGCTTCTTCTAGGTAATGAAACTTTTGTAAGGAAAAAGGGTAACTTTTTATCCCTTTACTAGACTCAATTTATCAATTTCGTCTCATCGCATTTTCGCATCAATTTAATCATCGAAGTTGGTCAGTTACGTCATTCTGTACACTATCCCTAACTTAAAACTCTAAACCCTAAAGAATAACATCATAACTTCTAAACCCTAAACCCTAAACCCTAAACCTTAAATCATGACTTAGGGTTTATAATTTAGAGTTTTAAGTTAGGGATATGATTTAGAATGATCCAATTGAGCAATTCGAGAGTTAAATTGATGCGAAAATACGATAGTGACGAAAATAATAAATTAGGTCTACTACAGGATTAAAAGCCACCCTTAAACCTTTTTGTAATTATAAAAAATAATAATTACTATTTCCTTAATAGAAAATATGCAATGTTTTTTAACTAATAATAAAAAATTAACTTGCCATGTTATAATTCTTGTCAATCTGAATCCTTCACAAGGCCCGACACAGTCTCAGGACGGGCCTTAAGCCGTCTTTAAGAAATACAGTCGGCCTCTAAATTTTTAAAACTACCGATTAAAGAAATCGAATAAATTGAATATCAAATTTTATTTATATATATAAAATATATTTCAAATAGTAAAAAAAAAATTTCAATTGATATTCAAAACCATCCCCCAATAATATATATTTTAAATTTTGTGATTCAAATTTTATTATAATACTTTACGATATGATCCATTTAATAGAAAATGATAATTTATAATGAATATAAATTTTCTAAAATTGGCTATAAAATCATAGGGATTGTTTTGTAATAATTCAATAAATTTAGTAAATATTTTTATATTTTTCAAAAAATTAATGAGTAAAATAATTATTTAAACATAGTTTAATAATTTTGAAAGACTTTACTCAATATTTATCGGTGCAAATGTATCAGAGATCCTTGTTCTATAAAAAAAATTAACGTAACTCTCGTATTATTTTTTCATCTTGAGTGCTCTCTAACTCAGAAAATAAACCTAATGTGGCCCTTTGACCAAAGCTTTTATCGCTAACTGTTGCAATATTGACGTAGCAGACCACGGTGGTGATAAACGTGATAGATGAGCTAAATTAGTAACTCAAACATGATAGATGGATTATTATGTCACTCGTATTATTTTTTTTCATCTTAAGTGCTCTCTAACTCAGAAAATAAACCCAATGTGACCCTTTGACCAAAGCTTTTCATCATTAACAATTGCAATATTGACGTAGCAGACTACGGTGGTGATAAACGTGATAGATGAGCTAAATTGATAACTCAAACATGATAGATAGATTATTATGTCAACAGCATGAACTACCTCGTCGTCACCATAACACTCAACGATGTAAAACGTTGGCCAAAGGGCCACATTAAGTTTGTTTTCTGAGTTGGAGGGATACGTTGAGAGAAAAGAACAATACGAAGGCTACATTAATTTTGTTTCAAAAGTATAGGGACATATGATGCATTTTTGCCATATTTATTTGGAGTAATTCAAAACATTCCATTATCATTCTATGGAAGAAGATGATGAATTACACGTGTACTGTTCAACTTCACGCGCACTGCAATGCAACCCGTGAAATGCTGTCCCCAATTCACTCGAGAAACAACCAAAACAAAATGCCTTTATTTCTTCATCACTTTCCTCTCTCTGTCGGAGATTTTTTTCAGTTGTCCTCGTATTTTGTTTTGACTAATTTGAATCGATTCACGTTGTATATATGATTTTGATGGGTAAATCTCCATATAAGAATTTTTTACATATATTACAACTCGAACTCAAATTTTGCTTGAACAATATCAAGTTACTTACCGGATGAATCAATCCCTATTGGTGGAGATATCTTTTTATCTTATCTAATTTAGTTAGATAAAATATTAATTTTTTTTTATTTTTATCTTAATTTTTGAGTTTCATTCTAATTAATTAAAATCAACCTACGTCGCACACCTAATTTTAATACGTGAGTTATAAATTTTCTATATAAACATAAACTTAACCTCAGTCCTTGATAAATATAAAGATTTTTGCATTCGCATCTTAAGCTTTTTGCCCCACTTCTCCATTATCAACGTATAAAAAGACAGGCAATGAGGGTTGAAAAAAGCAAAAGGACAATAAGCTTTAATGGCTAAGTTGTGGTGTTCTTTGTGCGTAATCACAATACTTGAGCTCTCACATGTGGCCATTTCACGGCGAGAACAAGTCCCAACGCCACCGCTTCCGGTGCTGCCACTTCCAACATTTTCCCAACTCAAATGGCAGCAAAGAGAGCTCATCATGTTCCTCCACTTCGGTGTCAACACGTTCACGGACTCCGAATGGGGCACCGGCAAGGAAAACCCCGCGATTTTCAACCCTTCCGGTCTCGACACCACACAATGGGTCACCGTAGCCGCCGAGGCAGGGATTTCTCTAATGATCCTCACTGCAAAACACCACGACGGCTTCTGCTTGTGGCCTTCCAAATACACTGATCACTCGGTTATCTCGAGTCCCTGGAAAAATGGCCGCGGTGACGTGGTGCACGAGTTCGTCAAGGCCGTCGAGGCTGCCGGTCTCGATGCCGGATTGTACCTCTCGCCGTGGGACCGTCACGATCGAAGATACGGTCATGATTTGGAGTACAACGAATACTACTTAGCTCAGCTACAAGAATTGCTCACCCAGTAAGATCAAAATATCAAAACCCTTCTTGTCTTTAACTTTATTGATCTTTCATGTAAATCTACTGCCTTGGATTCGGCAGATATGGGAGTGTTAACGAGATATGGTTCGATGGAGCTAAGGGTAAAAATGCGAAGAACATGTCTTATTACTTCACGGATTGGTTTGCAATGGCGAGAGAGTTGCAGGGTTCGATCAATATATTTTCCGACGCCGGTCCCGACGTGCGGTGGGTCGGGAACGAGCACGGATTCGCCGGAAACACGAGCTGGTCGACCATCAATAGCACCTTGTTGTCAATTGGAAACGGAAGCATTATTGAGTAAGCCAACTTCTAAACTTCAAAAACTATTTCCTAATATGGAACAGTAACTGCAAACTTGCAAGTAAGATAACAACACATTAGCATGAAAAATCACTCATTTAAGGAAAAGCCTTTTCCTTTTTCTCCTTGCTAATCACCTTTTTAACCTCAGTCAATTATTGGCTTAATTATGATTTGTATCTGTAACTTACGAAAATTGAAAAATTGGTCCTTTTGATTTATGGGGAATGGACCCTACTTGGGAATGGGCATTCTGCTCCGATCCTGACCTGAAAATAGAAGGGTTTTTTTTTTTATGTTTTCGACTTATCTCGATTTTTGCTGTTGTTTGATCTCCTTTAAATTTTTCTCGACTCAACACATATTTTTTCCCTCAATTTTTATTCGATAAAATTGATGTAATTGATTAATATGAATATGATATTATAGAGACGAAGACGACCCTCTCAACATAGTTTCTTCTATTCACCAAGATTAGCACTGAGAATCTTACTTAAGAAATTACTTAAGGGATCCGATTCTATTTCAATTCTAACTATCCACTTCACAAAATTCGTTAAAACCCACTCCAAATCTAAAAATTAAAAAATAAGAGTAAATTATGCGTTTAATATCTTAACTATCAGTTTTGGTATATTTTAGTATATAAACTTTAAATTTTTGAAAATCATACCTAAAATTCAGTTTTTGTTTTATTTTAATACACATGTTTAAAATTTAACAGTAATTTTTGGGGGGAAATTGAAAGTATAGGTACCAAAACGGACCAAAACTAATAGTTTAGGTACTAAACGCGTTAAGTTCTTAACAGCGGGTACTAAAATGAAACGAAAACTAGACGTTAGGTATGATTTTGAAAAAATTGAAAGTGTAGGTACTGGAACGGACCAAAACTGATAGTTTAAATACTAAATTCGTAGTTTACCCAAAAAATAATCCAATAAAATCATGAAATGTATCGTTTCCCAATAATAAGATATCTACCTTGATTGATTAGGAGGCGTATCATTTTCTAGCAATAAAGGAATCCATGTGATAATTGTGATTAATAGCATCCTTATTTCAATAATGCAGCTATCTCAATACGGGCGACCCCGAAGGAACCAATTGGCTACCCGCCGAGTGTGATGTATCGATCCGAAAGGGATGGTTTTGGCACAAATCGGAGTCACCAAAGAAACTAAGCCAACTCCTGGAGATTTACTACAACTCCGTCGGTCGAAACTGCGTCATGTTACTCAATGTGCCACCCAACACGACCGGTCTCATATCCAAACCCGACGTTCACAGGTTAAAGCAATTCCGGACCGCGATCGACACGATATTTGGCGTCGATTTGGCCGAGAACAGTCCCGTAAAAGCCAGCAGCCAAAGAGGGGGCAGGGGTGGAGGCTTTGGACCGGAGAATGTGTTGGACGATGACCATATTTGGACGTATTGGTCACCAAGTGAGGATGGTAATGGGGACCATTGGATTGAAATGAGGGTACCCAATGGAGGGACGGGATTCAATGTGGTGAGAATCCAAGAACCGATCGGATTGGGTCAAAGGATCGTGCGGCATGGAATTTACGTGGATGGCAAGAAACTTGTGGAAGGGACCACCGTCGGATACAAGAGGCTTCATAGGCTTGGAGAGGTGATTCACGGTGGCGATGTGAGGATCATAATAAAGGAATCAAAGGGATTGCCTTTGATATCTTCTGTCGGTTTGCATTTCGATCCGTATTGGAAACCGGATCGCCATCTTATTTTTTAGTAACAAAGTAATGAATCTGGTTGAAATAAAATCCACGTTTGAAATCTCGTTTGGCTTTGATATTGCACTACTACCAAATACTAATATTATATCAAATCGAATTGAATGATTAATATGTATTACATAAGTTTAAACGTCAAATTAATTTTTAAAAGTTACTATATAATAAAATTTTATGTCAAAGGGATAAATTTGAATTTATAAAATTTTAAGGGGTGAATTTGAATTCATAAAATTCTAGGTGAGGCAAAAACAATTTTTTTAATAGAAAATACAGGAAAAAAATCTAAAATATATGGTCATTTTAAATTTTTACCCCGCCTAACCAATCACTGAGTATATAATTTTATAATTTTACTTAATCTTAAATTAATAAACATTTCAAAATAGATCACATATAAAATTAAACTACTTTAAAATTAATGGCATAAATATGCATATTTTTAATTTATTTATATTTAAAATTAGTTTTTTTTTTCTTTTTTAAATATTTAATTTTATTTATTTAATTATATATATAATAAAACCGGATAACTAATGACTAAGTCATTAAATTCTAAACTTTTAAATAGAAAAAAATATTCTTGATTATTTGATTATTTGACATTAGATGTTTACATTCTTAATGCTTGAACCCGTGATTTTGAAAAATAACATTAATTTTTTTTATCTCCGGGTTGATTGATTTATTTTACATATGTAATTTATTTTATTTAAATGTAAACTAATAAATATTTAAAAACATAATTCATATGATAGTAAACTACGTTAAAAATAATATAATATGAATATCCAATTTTGTTAATTTATTTATATTTCAAATTAATTATTTTTTCTATTTAAATATTTGGTTTAAGGATCACATTTTCCCCTGTAGTAGACCCAATTTATCACTTTCGCCCCTATTTTATTTTCGCATCAATTTAACCCTCAAAGTTTGCTCAATTGTATCATTCTATACACTTAACGTAAAACCCTAAATTATAAACATGATATAATTTATGGTTTAGATGTTATAATTTAGGGTTTAGGGGTTTAAGTCAGGGTAGCGTTTAGAATAATGTAATTGAGGAACGTCGATGGCTAAATTGATGCGAAAACACGATAGAGATAAAAGTAGTAAATTGAGTTTACTACAGGGTAAAAGTTACCTTTTTACCTAAATATTTAATTTTTGTTATTTTATTTAGATTTATCTAACTATGTTTCTCCTTGTTAAATGCAGAATGCAGTGATTGCAGGCAAAGAGAACATGCTTAGATGCAATTACATCTTCACCAACACATAAGAAACACCGAATGATCTTATAAATCGAAGAACAAAAGACAAAACAGAGATTGAGAGGCAAAAATAGATAAAATTCCACAGGCAAAATTTTGCCTACAAAGCCAGCCATTTCCATTTTGATGCCCTCACCATTTCTTGCTATTATAGCGACCTCGACCACCACCACCACCCGGAAATCTATCATTTCTTCTATCAGAAAATCCTCCTCGGACACCTCTGCCGCCAGAGAACCTACCACCACCACCATTTCGATCACCGAAACCACCCTGTCCGCCACCGAGTCTCCCTCTTGACTGATTTCTCTCTTGTAAACGTGGCAATTCTTTCTTCATCACCTCTAATGTAACATTCGCTGCATTTTCAGCACCTGAATCCAAAAGGCAATAAATAGAAGGTGTCATGATCAATCAACACCATTTACATAAGAGAAACTTTTACACATTATATGGGGAAATGATGCTCCAATCAAAATAATGAGAATGCTAGTGATGCACCATAATTCCCTCTTATGGGATAGTGCAGGATCAGTTGGTTTTCCAAGATTTTTCGACTCGGTAAGTCGGTCCTCGCCATCGCAAGGTAAACTACGATGAACATACTACGTCCTGCATGATCCTCAGACCCTGCACTCTTCTCTGAGGTGCAAATGAGAGATCCCTCAACACTAATATGTCTATCAAACCAGGAAGTAGAGAAAAGTGGGGGGGAAATACTAGCAAGAAATTTTTCCACATCTTCTTCTGCAACATCAAAGACTGCACCCGTTCCATCAGCAGTAAGGGTCAGACCCTGCACTGACTGAACCTTTTCCTCTGGCAAGAATCTTTTCAACACGGCAAAAACATACCTGATAAATGAAAAACGAATCAAACTCAGAGATTTCAACAACAAAAATAAAAGATTAATGGGACAAATAAATAAATAGTTTCAACAAGGTTAGAATGACATTATAGATTTAGATTATTTCATATAGTTAGGATAACACATTCAAATGGGACTATGGGAGAACTCTATCATCTAAGTAGTTACTATTTGATTCTCGTGTGATATTGTAGTTACTACTTCAGATTTATATAGTTAGTTTTGCTAATCTTATTAATACCTGATATTTCAACCTTAGCCATGCAGCAGCCAGTGCACATTATTCCAGCCGGTGTGAATTGAACGGAACGAGTCAGTGCAACCGATACTAATCAAAATTTTCACTGACGCAGAGTTGAGAGGTTGATGTTTCGGTTGTTGAAAATTTAATATGCATGCACCGAAAGTAGCATGCAAATGTTGAAAAAAATAAACTTATCTCCACCGAATTGTGTAGTAAAAAACGAGTTTGATTTTGCTGAATTTTAGAAATGATAGAACCTCAATTTTAGTCATTGTAATTTATGGTATTTACAAATTAGTCCTTAAAGCTTCAACTATAAATACCCTATCTCATTTAGCTTCAAAACTATTCCAAAAGCATTCTAGCTTTCTTCCAATACTAGAGAGAATTTAGAGAGTTTCTTGAGAGTTGTTTTCTCCTTTTTATCAAGAGAGAATTATCATTGTTTTCTCCTTGGTAGATTGAAAGAAGTTGTAATTCCTATTTTCTCATAGTGAAATTCTTCTACCGTTGCTCGTGGTTTTTACCCTATATTATTTAGGGGTTTTCCACGTAAATTTTGTGTCTCTTTTATCTTTATTTTCTCAAATTATCAGTTGCGATTTTGCTCTATCCGATAGTCGTCTTCCGCAACATCGGTTTACTATTGGAATGGCGTGCACTACCCGATATGACTGAAACCAGTGCGGAGCTAACCTACTTTAATTTCAACTCTTATCCTATGTTTGGGTTGCAGTAAGAAGAAAAATGAAAGGATAGTAAGAGAAAAGATCATTTCTTCCCTTATTTAGATAGAGCTTTTTTCAGAGCAATTAAAATAATAGAAATTGAGTATTACTTCCCTCTAAAAGACTCAGTTTTATAACCCCAATTTTTTTCCTTAGTCTCCTCTGTTTTTCAACTGTTAATTCAAAGTATCAAACAATAATGTTAGAGTTCATTGAGACAAAGAAGTATCTTGAGATTTGCAATAAGAGAATAGAATTCCTTGTTTTTAAGAATTTTAAAGTCCTTAAGTTGCTACAGATATAATCTCTCTTTTGCTTACATTATATCAATTACAAAGGTACACAAATGGAAAAAGTTTCATGAACTTACGAAAGTGTGTAAATGGGTTTTCGAGCTTCAAGAAGTAATGTAACATAATTCTCCATTGATGTTAGAAGGGATCTACACTTTATTTCGGAATAACCCTGAAAAATAATGCAAGAATTGGGTCTTTTCAACCGAAAATGGAAACCAGAGATAAATTTTCATTTGAACAATCCAACAAACAGTAAATGTGATCCATAATATGAAGAAAATCAAGAGATGAATCATGTATGAGGATAAAAACTCACTGCAGCCTTGGCTAGTGCTTTGGCAAGTAGATCTTCTGCTGATAGACCAGACGTTGCCAATAGGTCCCGAGCAACGGACTTGAAGGCAGGAATTACACTGCAATCTCAAACAGGTTAAGATCGGAGTTGACAACTTACAAAGAAGAGATAAAATAACATCATTAGCAAGTGTACCTGTCAGAGACTTCTGTTATTAGTTTTGCCGCTTCAAGACCAGCAGATTTAGCAACATCAACTGGCCGAGGAGCAGATATATGCTCAAATTTCACACCAGATTCTCTTTCTATTTTAGATATGCTTGACCTTTTAGGATCAAAAAGCATGACAGCAACTCCAGTATTGCCTAAAATTTAGTAAATTTTCAGTATCATCTCAATCTTTTTTCAGAAAAAAAGAAGCAAACTTATGGTATATACCTGCTCTCCCTGTTCGTCCAGACCGATGAATATATGCTTCTACATCACGAGGAGGCTCACACTGTAATAGATTCAATGATATTAAACATTAAGGAATCACTAACACATCGCAAACTTTCGAAAAACATGAGTATCCAAATATACCTGGATAATTAACTGAACATCATTGATATCTAATCCTCGTGCTGCCACATTTGTAGCCACTAATGTCATGAATTTGCCCGACCGGAACCCATTAAGGGTGACCTGCAAGGATTGTACCAAAAATGAGAAATTGTAAAACATCAGGATCCGTTTTGCTTGAGAAAAAGCATGAAAAATGATATACTCTAGATAAGGCTCTACCTCACGTTGGGCCTGCTGTATGTCCCCATGCAAAGCACGGGATCCAGGCAATAAGCCGGAAAACTCAGAAGCAGAATCCTTTGTCTCGGTGAATATAATAGTACGTCCACCGCTGAATTATATCCGCAGGAGAAATGAAGAAAACAACTAAGCCAAATCATCAAATGTAATCCAAATTGTCGCCCTAAATTATTTTAAAACCATAAACCAACCTGCTATAACAACGGATAATATCTGGGATCAGCTGTGATCTTGCTGACTTAGAACAGGGTAAGACAATATGCCTAACACTGGTACTAGCTTTCATCTTCTCATTACCAACAAGATCAACAGTTTTCTTACTTGTTTTAAGAAATCTTGTTGCAATCTGGCAATGGAAAGGAATAAAGTTCATGACTAGCAGTATAATTGAAGAGGAAGAAATCCAAGTTGCATCTTTAATTCACGTTCTAATAGATGGAGCAGATACGGGGATGATAAAAATACTACAATGCATGAAAACAGTTGAGGAACATACACCCTTCACCCAGTCCGGCAAGGTGGCACTAAAA